TGAAGTGTCGCTGTGAAGGAGGCTAAGCTAAGAAGCTAACCGGAAATCGCGTGCGCTGTAAACAACCCTACTGAGAGAAGTACCGAGCCGAACGAGACAACTGTAAAGGAGAGCTGCTGCTTTGTCAGACAGATTTATTTTAATCTGGAAGCCTTATCAACACAGACTGACTTCATTCATTTCCTCCACTGCCGTATGCTAAACTAACTAGCAGACACTGCGCAGAACATCGACGTTCTGTTCTCTGATTGGTTCGGCTAAAAATCTGCCAGCGAAATCCTTGTCTATAGGAGAAGTCCCAGACGGAGCAGTGAAGGGAAACTAGAATTGAGCGGAACTAGGAAGGCAAGGGCCAGGCTAGGTCTTTACTGAAGATGAGCCTCAATAAGCAGCATGACACAGAAACATTCATAAGAAAGTGATGCATCTTACTGCAGGTACTGTGCAGCAGTGAGATGAGAACCAGGAGTCTTCACAGGCCCACACACGAGATGTCTCTGCAGCCACATAGAACTAAACGTTTAAAGAAGGAACACAATCTGTTGCAGTGGTTTGTGTGTGTGTGTGGTTACCTGAGTGTGTGTCGCTCCACTGGCTCTCCACAGCATCGCTATCTGCTGCTGGCGAAACTCATCCTGACAAGAAGTCACATGTATTGTTGTTACCATGGCTACCTGCAAAAGAGGCAAGGATATTTTCAATTAACTAAAAAAAACAACAACAACTGTGTTTGTGTACTTCATATTTGTGTGTTTGTTTGTCTCACTGAGCAGTCAGCGGTGGATAGATCAAGCTGAGCCAGGTGGGAAACACTGTCTCTGTGAACTGAAAAGAAATAACAGGAAGTTTGGTTTGTATTAAAAGAAAAAAAAAAAGGGGGGGGGGGTTGAATTTCTACACATCAACGTCTAAAAGATAATGTCAGAAAATCAACATGTGCTGACCTGTGCAAGTGCCGAGGGTGGGGTCGTATCCCAACAGTCCCTCCTCCTGAAAAACCCGTTTCAAGTTCATTCTGAGCACCCCCTCCTCCTCCTCCTCCTCCTCCTCCACTCTCCTCCCTCCTCCTCCTCCGCTGGCCCTCCTGCCTCGCTCCGTTCCTCTTTCTCTGTAAGGCGACTTCTCCAGCACCTTGTGGAGCTTCTCCTCCCGTTCCTCATTGGTCCAATCAGCTGGAGCTGTTGGCCAATCGATTCCCAGAGCTCGGAGGAAGGCGACAATATCGCTGTCTTCAGGAAGCGTGGGGCAAAAGAAAACTTCAAATCTAAGACAGGAAGGAATATTATCATAATCCAACTAATGTTATAATAAACAATAAAGCAATGAGTATAAAAAAGTCATGTTTAAAGCTTTTATGATGACAAATCCCTTTTGTTCACGCACCCCTGTCTTCTCAGCAGCGCCCCCATGTGGTCAGCCAGCAGAACGGTTCTTAGCTGGCCCAGGCTCAGTGTATCAGGAGTCGGGGTGTTGGGTTTCGGGTGCAGAGCCGGACAGTTGAGCAGCACACAGCCCTCTCTCTGACACGAGGGCTTTAGGTACTCTGTGGCTCCACCTGCCAGGACTGCCCTGAACGCTGCAGCCCGGTCCACCCGCAGCCTCAATCCTTCCCCCATGACCTCCCCACCTGCCACAGGGAGCACCCCACTGCCGCGAAGCGACAGGACTCTGGCCATCACAGCAGGAGGGACCTGGGGAGGATTTAATAATAAAATACTCAGAGAGTTCAGCTAAAACACATATTATTTCATTTAAAAAAAAAAACTACATTTCAGGACAGATTCATACTGGATCATGAAATATTTAGGTAACAAATACACAGGATCACACAAGTTACCATTGACGTTCATCAGTGGGTGATGTATTATATAAGGAGCATGAAATAGGGATGTTGACATTTCGTCAGCAGCTGCTGCCATTTTCTGCCCAAACTGCTGTGACCAGATTTTGCAAGGCTGCTCGGTGCGTTTGCTGTTATTTCCTCCTGCTTCGTTATTTCTACGAATTTCAACAAACCATGCTGCCGTCAGGTAATTAGCTACAGCCTCGTCTTCGAGTTTTTAATTTTTGTTGGTGCATTTTGAAGAGACAATTTTTTTGAAAAGAGGATCAAAGTAAATCACCCGAGTTTTTCTAGTGACCCCTTAAAGAGATAAGCTGCCATGAAGAACATTATTTTATCTGCCCTTGTTCCAAATTTGATAATGATTTGAAATGTCGAAGTATGTTTTTTAAAATCCGGAACAGCACTTGTTGCAAAGTGTGTTGACTCTCGTCTTCGTCACCTGACACATTTAACACGCTGT